GACGCGGGCAGGTCTGGTGGGGTCCAGGAGGCAGAACTGGGATGCCTTCAGCGTCTCCTCTCTTCAACTTGAGGGTTCGAGTCTGGTGGGCAGCACAGGGGAACATGGTAACACCAGCTTGCTCACCCAAGGGTCTGCACCTGCCTTTTCAGATAAACCCAATGCAGGGAGCAGAGGCAGCAGGAGAGCAGTGACAGACAGCAGGGGCAGGAGAGGAGAAGCCTCCAGGGGTGAATGATGCACAGGCAGTGACCTCCCCTGGTGCAGCCTGCTTCAAAGGAGGCTTACTCTTCTCCTTAGCCCAACAGCTAAGCCCAAATCAAAGGCCACTGGTCAATCCCTGGCAGAGGGCAAAGCAGCAAGGGGAGGAGATCACAAGAAGAAGTGGTCACACAGCTGCAGGGAGCTCCCTGCCACATTACCCTTGACTACCCCACTGAAGTGGCCGGGCAGGTTTTGGCCAGGCCAGGCTTACCCGGCTGTTGTGCAGCAGGGTCAGAGATGTGAAACCCGAGTGAGTCCAGGCAGAGGTTACAGGAGTAGATCTCAGATGATGCAACAGGCAGATGCTGTCGCAGGGGCTGCTCACTGCCTGCCTGGGGTAGGGGGAAGGAAAAGAAATTTAAAAAAAAGAAAAAAAAGATCATTCAGACTTTATCTACAATGACCTGAAATGAAACAGTGGTTCCCTCAAATCGTACCCAGAGTCTGTCTTTAGCATTGCCTCTTGAAAACGAGGTAAGATGTGCTTTTTGATATGGATAAAAAGGATTTCCTAGAGAAAAACTAATGAAACAATTTCTGTACTTGCAAGTAAACTATGATAAAGGGTATTCATTAACATAGTCTGTTATAATGATGGATTTTATACTTCTTTTCCCCAGGATGAGGATCCTTTTTGGAAGTCTTTGTTTCTGCTTCATTTCTTTCTTACTCAGCAGAGCAAATGGATTCCTAACTCTGAGAACACCTACAGCCTATACCTTCCCTGTTTATAACTACTCCTATTTAAACCTCTCTTCTGTGGCAGAAGCACAAGCTCCAAAAACAGCTAGAGCTCTCAATTTCTCACATAACGTCATTGAGAAAATAACCAAGAGGGACTTGGAAGGTTTTGATGTGCTGGAAGTTTTAGATCTTTCCTACAACCAGATTAAGGAGGTGGAACCTGGTGTGTTTGAGAGCCTGCCCAGCCTTGTTTCTGTGAATTTATCATTCAATGATGAGAAGCTTCTTGTCTCAACCCTGGCGCCCCCCCTGAAGCTCTTACCCGCTGGCAAAGCCTCAGGGTCTCTGCAGCTTTCTGAGGACTCTGGCACACCCTCGGGGGCTGCTCTGGGGCACGCTGCCTCTGCAGAGGGAGGTCCCTCTGTCCTGCAAGACTTGAGCCCGCGGCAGGGGCGGAGCACAGAGAATCTTCTCCGGAGAGCAGAGCCCCAGGGAACAGCCTCTCCACCAGCCACCCCCAAGCGGGACCTCTGCGGGGCGCCGGCCGACGGGACGCTCGACCTGTCCCACAGCCAGCTCTCTGAGGAAGACCTCAACCTCAAACTGGATCCCAAACTCTGCCAGGCTCAGCTGCATGGAATTCTGCACCTTAACATCAGTCACAGTGGCCTGGAAATGGACCTTCTGTCGCTGTTTATCCTGTTCCTGCCCATGGAAAACGTGCAGTCCGTTGATGCCAGTTACAACAAGATAACAATTAACATGGAGAATGTTGATCCGATCTGCAAGTTCCCCTTCAAAAACCTCCTGTTTTTAAACATCAGCAACAACCCCATAAACAGCTTGGACACGCTGTGTCTCCCTTCGACCATCAAGGTAATCGACTTGTCCTTCACCAACATAAGTCAAATACCCCAAAATTTTGCTACGAAATTGTTTAACTTGGAAAACATGTACGTGCAAGGCAATCACTTCATCTACACTGTACGGCCCCCAGAGGTTAACGAGGCCCCGAGGCCCCCCCCCGGGACCGTCCGCATTAACGCCATCTCCTTTGTCAGGAACCAGGCTGGCACGCCCATCGAGAGCCTCCCCAAGAAAGTGAGACACCTCAAAATGTCCAACTGCTCCATCGTGGAACTGCCAGAGTGGTTTGCTGGCACAATGCAAGAGTTGTTGTTTCTGGATCTCGGCAGCAACCGCATTTCTGTGCTTCCTGACTTACCCCCCTCCCTGCAGCACCTCGATATAAGCAACAGTGACATTAAAATAATACCCCCTCGTTTTAAATCTGTCTCCAACTTAACCATCTTTAGCATTCAGAACAACAAAATCACAGACATGCATCCTGAGCACTTCCCTCTGACTTTAACCAAGTGTGACATCAGTAAAAACAGGTTGAACGTGCTGCTGTTAACGGATGCCCTGGAGAAACTGGAGTATCTCAACGTCTCCAGAAACCTCATCACCAGGCTGGAGGCCAGCAGCCACCTCTCTGCGCTCGCCAACCTGGACAGCAGCCACAACCTCATTTCAGAGCTCCCCGATCACTTTGGGAAGGCTCTCCCAGTGCTGAAACACTTCAATTTGTCGGGGAATAAGATCTCCTTCCTCCAGCGGGGCTGTCTCCCAGCTTCTCTGGTGGAGCTGGACATCAGCGACAACGCCATTACCACCATAGTGGAGGACACTTTTGGCCAGTTAACCAGCCTGAGCGTTCTGACTGCTCAAGGGAAACATTTCTTTTGTAACTGCGACCTGTACTGGTTCGTGAACGTCTACATGCGCAGCCCCCGGCTGCGGATCAGGGGCAAGGGCGCCCTCAGGTGCAGCTTTCCCCCCGAGAGGAGGGGCTCCCTGGTGGAGAGCAGCAACCTCACGCTGCTGCGCTGCTCCCTGGGTGCCCAGATGGCCGTCACGGCCTGCGTGGCCGTGCTGGTGGCAACGGGGGTGACGGGCCTGTGCTGGCGCCTGGACGGGCTGTGGTACGTGAGGATGGGCTGGTACTGGTGCATGGCCAAGAGGAAGCAGTACGAGAAGCGGCCCGAGAACAAGCCCTTCGACGCCTTCGTCTCCTACAGCGAGCACGACGCCGAGTGGACCAAAGAGAATCTGCTTCAGAGGCTGGAAATGGACGGATTTAAGATCTGTTACCACGAGAGGGATTTCAAACCGGGGCATCCTGTGCTCGGGAACATCTTTTACTGCATTGAGAACAGCCACAAGGTCCTTTTTGTTCTCTCTCCCAGCTTCGTGAACAGCTGCTGGTGTCAGTACGAGCTCTATTTTGCAGAACACCGGGTCCTGAACGAAAATCAGGATTCCCTCATCATGATTGTGCTGGAAGACCTCCCGCCCAACAGCGTGCCACAGAAGTTCAGCAAACTCAGGAAGCTGCTGAAAAGGAAAACCTACTTAAAGTGGAGCCCTGAGGAACACAAACAGAAAATGTTCTGGCGCCAGCTGGAAGCTGTCTTGAAAACAACCAACGAGCCCCTTGTGAGAGCAGAAAACGGGTCTGCTCAGGATATCTATGAGATGCAGTGAGACACAGGAACAGGCAAAGGTTCTGCCTGGAAGGGCTGTAGTCAAATAAAAGCGTTTTTCTGTTTACCTCCTGCTGAGGCTGCTGTGTTGTGACGGGGGTTGTCTCAGATCAGTCCCAGGAGAGGTTACTGGGGGTCTTTAGCAGGCCTGTTATTCCACCTGATAAAAGAATCCGTTTTCCAAAGGGCTGAGAGCTGAGGGCTGGCAAACAGCCTGTTCTTCCTGGTGCTTGGTTTGCTGTTTCCAGCGTTGCCTAAAACGCCGTGGGGGTCAGCTGAAAGGAAGAACAGCTGTAGTCACATTGCACGTCCTGTCTTTTTGAGATCACTGCAGTGAGAAGCGCTGCCATGCAGAGGTGAGGCTGTGAGGCAGGTTCTCAGCTCTACTACAGCTTAGGATGGGAACAAACACACACTGTGAACAGGAGAACAAAACGCAAGCTGTGACAGTGCTCAGGTAACAGCTTCTTTCTTTCTGGGGTTCAGGAAGACAAGATTTGCCACCTCTCAGATGCAGGAGGTGCTTTCTCCCTTGTGTTACAAACTGCATGAGCTATGCACCTTATTTTCTAAACTATTCAGTATTCACACACTTTTATTGCTTACTCTTACCCAGCTCCTCTCTCCACATACATTTTCCATCTCCTTTGCCCAGCACTCTGTTGCTTCTCCTCTCAATCAGACTGATGCTTTTTGAACCTCGCAGTCACTCCTCACTGCTCAGCAG